CCACTAAGATTGTCTTATACCAAATTTGGTAAAGTTTGTGTGGTTCTAAATCATTCTTACTTTATCAATTCAATATCAATCACATAAACTCACTTTTCTTAATAATCGTGTCACCTCCTCATGTCCCAATGTTAGTGGGACGGAGGTAGTATATTTTATAAACACAAATACGTAACAAAATATTTATATATCTAATGAAAAGTATTTTTATTATTACGAAGTGATTCCAACTTTATCCAACTTTGTGCTCTGAAAAATTCATTCCAAATTTTTAACATATGCACATCCGAGTTAGTTAAACTATTCATTAGATTTCCACTGTCATCTAATGACATGGTTAAACATATAGCATATGCATCCCGGGCAACGCACGAGTAAAGAATCTAGTAAAAGCTAAAAGAAGTCCTATTTAAGTATAAAAACTTCATGGCCCTATGCGGTACATTAGCGGTCTTTTAGGTCTAAGGACCATTTCTCTACTTTTTACATCTTATGCCTTAGGGCATCCCCATCCATATGATTATTTGAGGATTAAGTTGTTGATGTGGCGGATTATTTTGGGGATCATGATTGAGTGATGAAGATTATTTGGTGAGATTATTTGACAAAATAATCCGGGATTGAAATATGAATCCAGATTACCTCAAGATTATTGTGAAGGTAGTATTAATTACTTGGTGCAGGACCCACAAAACATCTGATTAATTTGAGATGATGAATGATATAATTTTGAAGGTTTGAGATTATTTTGAAAAAATCTACGTGTCAATCTACATGTCATTAAAAAACCGTTTATTCAAGTAGCATCAATGTGGATGCTCTTAGATGTGTCATCACTAACAAGTGTTTGAACTTTGTAGTTTGTTAGTTTCTTATTGTGATGTACCCTTTTCTCTTTCCAATTTCTAATTATATGGCTTTTTAATCATCAAACATACTTATATAATACTAGGAGAATCCTAGTATTAGGAGAATCCTAGGAGAATCTTTAAAAACGACACTTCACATAATACTAGTAGTCTTCTTGGCGTTATAGTTTTTCCAAGATGCAAAGGTCCTCAAAATGTGCAAATAAAAATAGCCTTCCGATTAGAATTCTAATAAGTGCCATGATATCAAAGAAACAAATGTTATTGGCTAAAATCTGAAGTGTCGTTTTTAAAGATTCTCCTAGGATTCTCCTAGGATTCTCCTAGGATTAATTTGAACTTTGTAGTTTGTTAGTTTCTTATTGTGATGTACCCTTTTCAGCTCATTAGGCTTTTCAGCTCATTAGCCATAATACTTGAAAGATTGAACAAAACATACTATCCAACACTTCGGTGTTCAGCTCATTAGGCTTTTCAGCTTTAAAATATCAGTTTGTTGCTACATTTTCAGCTTTAATTTTTCCCGGTTAAATGTAACTCGTTTCCCGGCAGTCGCCGTTGCTGGGGTTCAAGCACATCGTCGTCGTCGCCGTTTAACCGTGAAACCGGTTACTTACTGACCAAAAGGGCTTAATTGAGCGTTTTTTAATAGTTCGAGGACTTAATTGAGTGTTTGTAAAGTACGAGGGCCTAATCGACTTTTTCGGCATAATACGGGGGCTTATTTGATAGTTTTCCCTTAGAATAAAAAAAACTTCTAAACATTCTCCAAATTCTAATGCCCTAAAATAACACTAATAAAAGTAATACTAATGTTTTTAATTGGATTAAATTTTTTGGTCTCGACTCATCTGTTTAAGTCGGGTCTGGTCTGATTTGTTTTTTTAAGCCTGATCTGGTTTGGGCAAAGTAAAAATATCATTACATGTCCAAAAACTCAATCCCTTAATTATATAAAAAAGTTAGGTGATAAGATTGATAATAATTAAGCATAGTTTCTATTTAATAATAACCTGGTATAACATGTCATACCCCGGTCATGGACCATTATTGGTGGACAAGTCATATAGTTCGGATTATATACAAACAATTAATAGTTGAGATAATTGTGAACAAACTGACAACAGTTGAGATTATTGTTTTCAATTTTTTCAAAGAAGTATCATATGAATGTTTTTACTTTAAAAATATCATCAATCAAGTCATTGTAACCTGCTATTGAAGGTCATTTATAAAATTAAATAAAACAATTGATTAATTTTATAAAAATTCATATAAATTTGAAACATAATGTAATAATATAAAATCAGTATAAGTTTTAAAAGATATAAATATTTCTAACATGTTAAAATAAATAAAATATTGAAAATATGAAAAATGGAAAAATAAAGTAAAATTGTAAAAAATATAAAATTAAAATGTAATAACTCTAAAAAGATGTAGAAACTATATATTACTCTTAAAATGAAAAAATATAGACCTTGACATTTTTAAAGTGTCTAAACTTTTTATACATATTTCTTCAAATTTTAATAAAATTTTACTTCAAATTTTAATAAAATTTCTTAAAGACTGTACTTTTAAAGGTTAAACCGGTAAAAGGCCAAATTGAATTGATCGATTTTTTAAAATAAAACACATTTATATGATTTTTTAGTACATGTACTTAAATGGTAGATTTTAAACATCAAAATGATCTATTTGACTTTGTTCCCCATCAAAAATAGATATGCTTCCCATGTCATACCTCATAAGTGAAGTATCACATTACAATGCACATGATTAGTCTATGCTAATATTTCATCATATATTTATATTTTATCAACCTAATTAAACTATTCTAAATTGTCAATGTGGACAAGGTGTGACACCTTTGAGGTACCATATAATTTACCCATTATTAGTTTGTTTTATCAAAAATGTAATTTTAATCTAATATTATTCACTGCTTATTTTAGCGCGCGAAGATTGTGATTATTTTCTATTTTCTCAATGAGGTTTTAGAATTTGTGCTTTTGTTGTGGTTGCAAAATTGACATGCTCACGTTGACACAATTTGAGTCTTTCATTATTAGCTACCATTTGGTATGTGTTCTCTTTGGAAACATATAATAATAGTGTACATTTATTGTCATTAACATATTGCTGTTAATCTACTACGAGCAGTATGTGATATGTTATTTGTTATTCTCAATAGATATGTTATAAAAATAAATGTTCCCAAATTAAAGTAAAAAACATGCAATCTTCTTTCTATCACACTTATTTTATCTAAAATAAGATCATAATATTCTCAATAGCTCTAATAAAAATAAACTAATGTTGTTGCTGTTGCCATGCAGCCTACCGTCACCGTCGTCACCACTGTTAAAATCTAAAGGTCATATTTTTTATAAACTCAAAAAGTAAATCACCAAAATAAATGGGGAAAGTCCTAGACTCCCAATTGCCATTTATCAAGTATTATGCGTAGTAAACAACAAAAAGAAATTTACACATGAACAAAAACAACTTGAAAGAATAAAAATACAAAAAATACAAACATTCAATAAAGATGTACGGAGTACATAATATCCTCATTGAGTCTATAAAGCCTTTTACAACAATGGAAACTTCACAGTGATGATTGAAAAGATGATGTTGATGTTTAGTCTTTTGACGAGATGATGAACTATGAAATTTAGATCAAGTTGCGATGTCAACATCATTATTCAGTCATCCACTCTTTTTAGATATCATGGAGCGACAACAATACAGTCAAATATTTTCTATATATTCTATAAAAACTTACGGAGTAAAATATGAAAGTGAATTATATACCGTGTAGGGCACGTGTAAAAATACTACTCGTAGTTTGTATATAATTCGTTAAATATTCGTATGGTTAAACAAATACAAATACAAATCTAAAAGGGAAAGCTGTCAAATAAGTCCTCTTACTATGTCAAAAAAGTCAATTAAGTCCTCAAACTTTAGGATCAATCAATTGAACCCTCAAACTCATAAAATACATTCAATTAAGCCTTATGACCTGTAAATAACAAGTTTCTCGGTTATCCTCTTACATGGACTATCCATGTAGATTTTTATTTCTTTTTCCTTTTTCTTTTTGTTTTTATTTTCTTCCTTCCTTTCTTATTTCTTTCTTGCGTTTCCCACATTCGTTCGCACCAGCCACCAGAGAAAGATATTCAGAGCTCTCTCCTTTCGCCTTCATGAGACCAATTAAATTTTGAATTGAAGCCATCGCCCGAATTGTAGCTTGTGGCTGCCATAGCCGGAGTTGCTGGTTGTGGCCGCCGTCGCCGGAGTTGCTGGTTGTGGCCGCCGTCGCCGGAGTTGCAGGTTGTGGTCGCCGTCGTCGGAGTTGCAGGTTGTGGTCGCCGTCGCCAGAGTTGCAGCTTTTGGCCTCCATCGCCGGAGTTGCAGCTTGAGGCCGCCATTGTCGGAGTTGCAGCTTGTGGCCGCTACCGCCGGAGTTATCCCTCACTCACGTTCGGGCTACGGTGAAGCACATCCAGATCTACACGACGACTTCTTGCAAGACTGATGGAAATAGAAGCTGACTGGATAAATAAATATGACGGCCGCTGAACTAAATTGCAAGTGACGGCGAGTCGTGGGCGCAGACGGTGGCACAAAAGTGTGGTCGAAGAGGATGCGACAGTGCTCTACATGAAGGGAATGGAGGATGCAAATCTGCTGCACAGGCGGTGGCACAAAGGTGTGCTCTACGTGTGACGGTCGGTCAACCGCCGGTGCGGTGGGCTTGTGGCAGAAAGGGATACGGCAGTGCCGCCTGGGAAAATGATGAACTTGGAGTAATAGTTCTTTCTCTGGTGGCTGGCCTTTGCGAACAAATGTGGGAAACGCAAGAAAGAAATAAGAAAGGAAGGAAGAAAAAAACAAAAAGAAAAAGGAAAAAGAAATAAAAATCCACATGGAAAGTCCATCTAAGCGGATTACCGGGAAACTTGTTTTTTATCGGTCATAAGGCTCAATTGAGTTTTTTTTATGAATTTGAGGGTTCAATTGATTGATTCTAAAGTTCGAGGACCTAATTAACTTTTTTGACATAGTAGGAGGACTTATTTGACAGTTATCCCAATCTAAAATAATATTGGTTGCATATTCCAATTGGGGTTCGTATTGTACAATCCAGCCGCAGAGCTTTTGGGACTACGACTCTACTAGGCCATGATGCCTCCGGCGGCTTCATTCCCCGTTTACGCTCACCGTTTCACCGCCGACTCTTTTCATAACCGACTCATCGACATTGTCAAAGCTGCTCTCATCAAAATATTCGTATCTCCTTACGCCACCGTCAGTACCCCATTCTATCTCTCATAAACACACACAATGCACAGGGGCGCATGCTTTTTGAGCATTATTTTCACGTTTTTTGTGTATCAATCTAATTATAAGTAGGTGTGTGAATTGTACTGTGGAAAAGTTCCCAATGAAGAAAAGTGGGATGAATCTCAAATTGGCCACTACATTGGTTTTGGTATGACCGTAATTCTTTGGATATGTCATTTTCTATCGGGTTTATAAGCGACGGATCTTATGAATTGGAGTCCTAAAGTGTGAGTTATTTATGTATTTGGGTTTTTTCACATGGTTGCAGATGTAGCGGCATCTGGTGTGAATGAAAAAAAGGAAGCATGGGAGAGTCAGCGCAAATTTTACGTTACTGAGTTGTTTGAGCTTGACCCTTGCACTGTAAGGATGGACCTTTATGTGTGCATGCTTGTTTGTGTAGCCATGTTAATCCCCTTCCTTGTATGGATGTTTTCTATTTGGATGTGGAGCAGGGGACCTTTCTAGGGCGGGCACGAGTTTCTGCCTACAATGTCTTGATTCAGAATTGTGGGTTTTCAATAACGTTTCATCTTTCTGTGTGTGTCAACAATGCAGCCCATTGATTGTATTGCATCTGTTTGGGGAGCATTTATTTTTGGCTTTAAAACCACAGAGAAATTGAAACCGGGATTGAGGGAAATGGGGTACATCGATTTTCTTCAGCTTTGATCTAATGTGTGAACTAAAGGAAGCATTAACAACAACCTTTCTTGGTGTAGTTAAAATTAGATGTTGATGTTTCTCGCGCACGAGTTTGTGTGTCAGGAGTGGTCTGTTAAAGCAGAATTTCACTGCTGTTCACAAATTCATTAGTTCCAGTTCCCCAATTCTAGAACAATGAGAAAAGTTAATAAAAAGCTGATTCCCTTCTTGTTTCCATCATTCCTATGTGAATTTTCATTGCCATAAGCAGTCCTGGATGCAGGAATTCCCAACTGGAGGGACTGTAGTGTAAAATTATACATACTAATACATACATATATTAAATTTTGGTATAATTATACCTAATTTAAAAAATTGCCCCCCTTGTGTTTGCCACTAGTCATAAATATTTTTGTTGATATATAGTTTGCATCTTGTTTATTGGACTTAGGCCTTATTTGGCTATCGACTGTTAGTTGTTAGACGATTGTGATAACGGTTTGATAATTGCTGGTTTTGTTAGCTGATTTGATTGGCTAATTGTGCTAGCTGTTTTGGTTGGCTGATCGTGTTCGCTGTTTTGGTTGGCTGATTGTGTTCGCTGTTTTGGTTGGTTGATTGTGTTCGCTGTTTTGGTTGGTTGATTGTGTTAGCTTGTTATAAACATCTGGTTGGTAAAATTAATTGTTGTTGTTAGGGTGTAAAATGACGTATAAGGATATCAATACATACTTATGATTTTTAGGCATTACTTTTAGCAACGGTATACCTACAGCTACTTAAAATTACAAAGCAATAATTTGTTAGAAATCATGACAATTGATAAGATAAAACTATACAACAACAACATTACCCCAATGCCGCAAAGGCTTCCCACCTACAATGAGGTTAGGGGTTTTTGGATGTACGCATCCTTACCCATGTACGGATGACTCATGATGAAACATCGCGTCGAAAATTGCATGGCTGTCTGCTACTTCAAAACAAAGAAGCGCAGACAGTTTAGTGATCCATTTTGCTTTATTCCATCATATTTTCAAGACAAAAAATAGTGAGTCTTTGGTTGCATTGGAATTGATGGAAAAAGATAAAACTATACCACAAATAAAATAAATTTGAAGAAAGAATTTCTTTTGATTTGACACAACACCAACACCCAAACTCAAGCCTTATTCCCAAAAGAGTGAGTTCACAAGGTCCTCAAAAGAATTTCATTTTACCCATTGATGGGTTAAATACAATACTGCTATCTAATACTTGTAAGTTTTAGTCATACAACACTGTAACTTTTGCTCTACTTAAACTACATTGTTGCAAAGAAAATGATATATTTGCTCCATACCAAATTTATAGAGCAGCTCTTGCATTCTTGTAAAAATAGAACTCTAATAGGAGAAATGATCCTTCCCTGACAACCAACCTTGTTGCGAATTTTCATCAAATCATCTATATCAAGAAAAACAAAGAAAGCACTTCTTTTTCTTTGTTTGACAAGTGAAATCGCAATGTTAGCAAATGAAAATTGTGGGCATTTTATATGTTGTGACCACACAAATTTGCTCCACAACTCAGCAAAGGAATGAATTAAATAAGACTTTGACTAAAACTGGAACCCCGAAGCTCCACAGAACAAGTGAAAGTAAATCGAAATGAAACTACATTAAAAAGGCAGTCCTGTGCATTATAGACAACTAGAAAAACCTCTAAGAGCATTTTCTGGTCACACAAGGAAATCAACACTTCTTTCTATTTTTAGATAAGTAATGTAACTGAGTTAGCATGGAATCCTAAAATCTTTTTATAAAATATCATTGTATTGCACAAGATTTTTAAAAAAACCAATTGCAACTGATCGAAGAGGGATACAAATGATTGAAACCAGTTTAAATACCTCATTATTTCTGCCTACCTTCTCTACGGAGAAATACTATTTTATCAAAAGCATTGCAATGGAATATCTATATTAGTAGCATATAAAGAGTATAAATAAACAGATATCTAAAACCAAATCTATTGAGTTTTAGCCTCTATTATATATCCTCACAATTTGTTTCCTTTCAATATTCCTCTATGTTTGGATTTTGATTGTTTTTCCCTGGTACCTTCTGCAAAAGAGAAGGTATAAGACAATATCCAAAAAGCATTCATATACATACTTAGGAAATTGCAGCGAACTTACCTGATTCTAATCTCTTCTCCATTTTATTTGATGCAGAGTATAAAATTGTATTATTCATTTATTCAAGTCAAATAGCATGTATATCATTATCAAATACTTAATTTGAAAAATAAACATATACCAATAAGCAAATAGGTATATGTTTATCCGCTCCCTTCTTACCCCCACCGTTGGTGGCAGCCTTAACGGCACCGGGGTAATGATGATGATGATAGCAATAAGCAAATAGGTCTTATTGGATCATATAAATCAGTTTATAACTTAGCAAAAACTAAGAGTCACTCTTAGTTTTGCTACCATTCACTTAGAATCATATCAAATCTCAACACCCCCTCAAGCTGGTGCATATATATCATATGCATCAAGCTTGTCACAAATATATCTTATCCTCGGACCGCGGAGTGACTTAGTGAGAAAATCAGGTAACTGATCATTTGAATTGACAAAGGATGTGAAGATTTCTCCACAAATGACCTTTTCACGGATAAAATGACAATCGATTTCTATATGTTTTGTTCGTTCATCACAGGCTTCAGTTTGCCAAACTTTAACTCAGATAATAATGGTTTCAACCATATAAGTTCGCAAGTGGTGAGAGCCATGGCTCGATACTCTGCTTCGGCACTTGATCTAGCAACAACACTCTGTTTCTTGCTCTTCGAGGAGATTAGGTTTCCACCAATGAGAACACAGTACCCTGAAGTTGATCTCCTATCATTTGGACAGCCGGCCCAATCCGCATATGAATATGCAGTAATATTGTTATAACCCCGATTTGCATAAATCAGTCCTCTTCCAGGTGAAACTTTGATGTATCTTAGGATTCAAACAACTGCACCTCAATGACTATCACATGGCGTGTTGAGGAACTGACTAACCTCGCTCACGGCAAAGGAGATGTCTGGTCCAGTCATACTGAGATAATTTATTTAACTTTCCCACAATCTGCGATATCTTTCGAGATTGGAGATAGGCTGTCCCTGATCTGGCAAAAGTCGAACATTTGGATCAATTGGAGTATCAATCGGTTTTGCCAAGTTTTGGATTGAGCTACCTCAATTCCAAGAAAGTAACGAAGTCATCCCAAAGTTTTTTGTTTTAAATTGCTGGGACAAGTACAATTTAAGATTCTTTATGCCATCATGATCATCCCCTGTTATTACAATATCATTAACATAAACAACAAGGTAAGTAGATTGATTAGATAAAGCTTTTTTATAAAACACGGTGTGTTCTGCTTTGCATCGAATCATCCCAAACTGTTTGAGAGCCGTACTGAATCTGCCAAACCACGCTCGTGGGGATTGTTTAAGACCATACAATGCCTTATGCAATCGACACACATATCTACATTCCCCCTGAGCTATAACCATGGTGGTTGCTCCATGTAAACTTCTTTTAAATTACCATGAAGGAAGACGTTTTTAATGTCCAACTGATGTAACCAACCACACATAGCTGCCATAGATAAGAACAAACGTACAAAAGCCATTTTTGCAACCGGAGAAAAAGTTTCACCATAATACAAGCCAAAAACATGAGTAAACCCTTTAGCACCCAAAGGCGCTTTCAGTCGATCAACTTGTCCATCAGGACCAACAACTTTGATTGTAAGCATCCAACGACAACCAACAATAGATTTCCCATGGGGCAAGGGAACAAGAGACCAAGTACGGTTAATTTCAAGGGCATCCAACTCATCAAGCATAGCTTGGCACCATCCTGGATGGGCAAGAGCTTCCTGGACAGTTTTAGGGATGGAACCAGAAGAGATGGAAGACACAAAAGCATAATGGGAAGGAGATAGACTATGATAACTTAAATAATTGTAAATAGGATGTGAGTTCCGAGTGGAACGTATACTTTTTCCAGTTGCAATTGGAAGATCAGATTGAGCTGCTGCCTCAGGTTGGTCCGGAGTAAGTAAAGGAGCTAGAGATGAATCAACAGAGTCATTATTAGGGACATCCTCATTAGGCGCAGACCTGAGAGACAGATTTTGTCAATCAGAGAATCTGTTAAATTATTAGTATTACTTTATTTGATGTCAATCAGAGAATCTGTTAAATTATAGTTATTATTACTTTATTTGAAAGTATGTAATTTTGGGAAGTTATTGTTAGGTTTTAAGTGCAGGATATCTTGCATTAATGGCAAGGATCTCTTGATTTGTTTCCTTGTAAATGTATTTAGTTCTTGCCTATATAAGTGTGAATATACAGCTGGGGAAGGCATCTCACCTCTTTCAGCAATTCTAGTTTTTAGTTCTTCCCAGTTTCTTATCTTCTGGTAATAATTGTGACATGGTATCAGAGACATAAGCCTTGTTCTTCGAGTTCCTGCTCAAACCCTAAATTTCCCTAGGGTTTTCTCTCAGATTTTCGTCACCTCAGTTGTAGCCATTTTTTTTGTCTCAGATCTACTCATTTCCTTCTCAGATCTGTGCGTTTTTAGCCGCAGAACCAGTGCTTATTTTCTGGGAAGTAAACGTTCTCGTGTTTTTTTATTACTTTCTAGTCATCATGAATAAAATTGGAAA